GCTCCATTTCAATACCAGATGTGTGACTTTGGGGAAATTACTTAGGTCTCCATGCCTTGATTTCTCTATCCATATAATGGGAATAATAATGATAATAATAATATTACACACTTCATAGCATTGTTGTAAGGATTGAATGAGTTAATATATGTACCACGCCCATGCTTAGAACAGGGCCTAGTGCGTGGAAGTGCTAGATGAGGGTTTGCAATGCCCTGCATTTTTACGAGCTGTTCGGAGCCATGCTGATCCTTCCTCCCTCCCTTTCTTTCTTTCTTTCTTTTTTTTTTTTTGGCAGAGTCTTGTTCTGTTGCCCAGGCTGGAGTATAGTGGTACCATCTCAGCTCACTGCAACCTCTGCCTCCTGGGTTCAAGCTTCTGCCTCAGCCTCCCGAGTAGCTGAGACTACAGGTGCGTGCCACCATGCCTGGCTATTTTTTTCTTTCTTTCTTTTTTTTTTTTTTGTATTTTTAATAAAGACGGGGTTTCATCATGTTGGCCAGGCTGGTCTCGAACTCCTGACCTCAGGTGATCCGCCCACCTTGGCCTCCCAAAGTGCTGGGATTACAGGCATGAGCCACCACGCCTGGCACACTGGTCCTTTTCAAATCCCTTTCAAGAAGCTAGTCTTTCTCGTTCTGACATACGTGTTTCTGTAGGCACCTCTGAACCTGAGGGGTCCCAGTGAGTGTCCTGTGTGATCCTATTGCTCTGGGTTGTCTGCTCAAGACAGGTTTTTGTGAATGGGCTAAGGTTTCCCTGGGAGCCAGGCATGGGTGTCTCTGGGGGCTGATGTCTCTCTTGTCTGTGCTGATTGTGTAAGCTGCTCTTTCACTGGTCTTTCAGGGAAAAACCTATTCCAAGCCATTTCTACTCACAGCTACTTTCTTTTGGAAGTAGTAGGGTAATAGCCCAAAGCTATAAAAGAAGGTGCAGCATTTATCAATTGATTGATTAACCAATCAGTCAACGTGTATTTGTGTGGTGTTTTCTGTGTGTTTAGCACCATGCTAGCTGCTCCCTGGAGAAATTAAAGAAATGTAAGACAAGGTCTTGAACTTCAAGTTAGGATCCCAAAATGATTAAATGGGAAATGATTATAAAACACCTACTAAATTTAGATGTAGAGAATAAAGTCTTCCAAGGAGAATTTCTGTAGTTGCAAATGACATTTCCTGGCCCCAGGAAATGAGTGAGGTGGTCCAGTCTAGGCTCCTTATTCTATTATTTTCTGATGTGGGAGGCAGTAAGAAATGACCTGTGTCACATGAAAGTGCCACAAGGGAAGGAGTAATATTGAGGAGATTTATCTGGCAATGTGTGGAAGATGGAATGGTATTAGAGAGACCAGTTGGCTGCTGCCAAAGTTCAAGTCTGCACCTATGAAGAATATAGGAAGAATAAGACACACAGCTGAGCATATGAAGTCAGAAGGGTAGATCCAAGAGACAGTAACAGTAGTATTGTATTAGTCCATTCTCACACTGCTGTAAAGAAATACCTGAGACTGGGTAATTTATAAAGAAAAGAGGTTTAATTGGCTCATGGTTCCACAGGCTGCACAGGAAGCATGGCTGGGGAGGTCTTAGGAAACTTGCAATCATGGTGGAAGGCAAAAGGGAAGCAGGCACATCCTACATGGCTAAAGCAGGAGGAAGAGAGCAACAAGGAAGGTGCTGCACACCTTTTTTTTTTTTTTTTTTTTTTTTAAGATGGAGTCTTGCTCTGTCACCAGGCTGGAGTGCAGTGGCGTGATCTCGGCTTACTGTAACCTCTGCTTCCTGGGTTCAAGTGAATCTTCTGCCTCAACCTCCCGGGTAGCTGGGACTACAGGCACCCACCACCATGCCCAGCTAATTTTTGTATTTTTAGTAGAGAGGGGGTTTCACTATGTTGGCCAGGATGGTCTCGATCTCTTGACCTCGTGATCCACCTGCCTTGGCCTCCCAAAGTGCTGGGATTACAGGCGTGAGCCACCGTGCCCTGCCACTGCACACTTTTGTTTTTGTCTTTTGAGACAGAGTTTCACTCTTGTTGCCCAGGCTGGAGTGCAGTGGCACAATCTCGGCTTACCGCAATATCCGCCTCCCAGGTTCAAGTGATTCTCCTGCCTCAGCCTCCCGAGTAGCTGGGATTACAAGTATGCGCCACCATGCCCGGCTACTTTTTTTTTTTTTTGTATTTTTAGTGGAGACAGGGTTTCTCCATGTTGGTCAGGCTGGTCTCGAACTCCTTACCTCAGGTAATCCACCCACCTCAGCCTCACAAAGTGTTAGGATTACAGGCATAAGCCTCCTCCAACATTGAGGATTACAATTCAACATGAAATGTGGTGAGGAGGGGAGGACACAAATCCAAACCATATCAAGTGTCTAGACAGAAATACTGGCTTTGTCACCAGATCAACTTGGAATCGAGTTTGACTCCACCTTTCACTAACTCAATGACCTTGGAAAGTTTTGAAACTTCTGTGAGCTTCAGTTTCCCCATCTGTAAAATGAGTATACTAGTCCCTGCTTTACAGCATTATTGTAAAGCTTGCATGAGGTAACACATAAAGGCATTGACATTTGCCTTTGTGCATGGTGAGTGCTCTGTCAGCGTTAGCTTTTTGCCATTAGTCCATATCAGCTGAGATGAACTGAGCACCTACCTAGTGTCACACACTGTGATAAGTGTGAGGATGTAGAGAGGATATAGGAATGGCCTCTGTCTTGATGACACCCACAGATAGATATTATCTCCTATGCGGAGAGAATTGTCCCATGTCTCCTTGAGGCTTCTCCAGATGAACTAAAATGGCACATCTCTGTGGTGGACCAAGGAAGAGCTGTGGAGTTCTACAGTTGTTTCCCCTTGTGCTCTGTCTGTGCCTCATCATGAAGGGACCAAGTTCTTATCAGAAAAGTAGACCAGGCATCCTGTAGACCTACCTACAGTTCTGACCAGTAATATCGCCAGCTCTATTCACCTCCTTCAAAGACACCATTTTTCTCCTTTTATCCCCTCTTCTTCTGGCTTAACCAAAGCAGCGACCCCAGAAAACCTAGACATTTGGCTACATCAAATAGGCATTGAGTATGCCTTTAAAGTAACCCTTTCCCTTTAAATATGAGTATAATTTTAGGATGATTTTTATGTCTGCAATTTGTCTATGCCTACTGATGTGCACCTGAATTTGTTTTCTATGGGAAGGAAATTTAGAAGTTCTAAGCAAACACTGAGATCACCTTGTTCTTCACTATTCTCTGCCTTACACATCCATATCAATCTCTCCACATCCGTTGTTGACCACAGGTGGTCTGACCCAGAGAAGAAACACAGAGAACATTTGCCTCCTCATGGAGACCATCTGTTCTTGGACCTAGGGCCACTGAAAGGAGGAGGCTGGACCATGAGAACTTCTCCAGGTATCTGGGCCAAGCCACTTTCTCTAGGGAATCAGAGGAAGACTCATCTTCTCCCTCTTCTAAGAGGGTGCCCTACCAGCGGAAACTTTCTGGATCATTAGAGAGAGTTTAGGGAGGTCAACTCTTGGTTTCATAAAGGCAGAAAAGCAGACAAGGAATGGGTCTCTGGAACAGACTCACTGCAAATGCAACACAGGCTATGGGGGATGAATATTTCTAGGTGAGAGGGAGTTGCAGGGCAAGGGAGAAAACATCTATAGGTTGAGATTCTTGATTTTAACATGCAAAGAATTTTTTTCAGGTCAAGAAATTTTTGCAGGAGTATTTGTAGTGGGCCTGATATCTGGAATTTTGTAGTTTCTTATTCCCTTTTCCTAATGATGATCAAATGAGAACATTCTGGGAATTGATACCTTCCCCCTGTCACATTCTTGTTAACTGGTTCCATTTCAACAGATGGCCTCTTTTGTACGGTACACAGATCCTTGACATCTGTGAGGACTGATGATGTCCAGAGACATTCACAAATCTTCAAGTTCATGAGTGCGGAAACATTTGTACAAGCTCCTGGCTTGCTCCCAAACCACATGTTTCTCATACATTGCCTCATATCATAGGTTAACCACCTTTTCAACTTGAACTGTGGTTCAATCTATTACATTATGGTGATTTTTCTTTTCCCCACACATAAACCAGTTTTGATTAAACAACGAAAACAAAATACACTATAAAATTTCCTGCAAGGCCAGCAATAAATGAAGAGCCACAGGGGCAAAAGAAGCTGGGTTGGCGGGGGGTCAGTAGGGCTTCCTCCCTGAGAGAATTCCTTTCACACACCACTTCCCAGAAGCACAAAGTTCAAATCCAGGCCTGTACATGGGACAGATGACTGTGGGATATGGGCCTTCAAAGTTATTCATGAATAGTCTAAACTGAGAATTGAGGTTGAGAGTGCCTCAGGCTTCTTCTGGCTCCACACTTCATTCTTGGGCCCCTGATCCTCTCCCTCCTCCCACCCTCCACCTTCCGCACTTCGGTAGGCCCCAGTGTCTGCTGTTCCCTTCTATGTGCCTAAGTGTTCTCAAGGAAGATATAATTTTATACCAGCTCTTCAAAATTCATTATCTGGGATATGGATCACCTGGTGTCATTCAGAACCAGCCCCTAAAACACTCTAGACTTTTTTTTTTTTTTGATATGGGGTCTCGCTCTGTTGCCCAGGCTGGAGTGCAAAGGCACAATCTTGGCTCACTGCAACCTCTGTCTCCTGGGTTGAAGCAATTCTCCTGCCTCAGCCTCCCAAGCAGTTGGGATTACAGGTGCACATCACACGCCCAGCTAATTTTTGTATTTTTAGTAGAGACAGGGTTTTGCCATGTTGGCCAGGCTGGTGTTGAACTCCTGACCTCAAGTGATCCACCTGCCTCGGCCTCCCAAAGTGCTGGGATTACAGGTGTGAGCTATAGCACCCAGCCCACTCTAGACTTTTCTTCATAAGTATGTGCATTCCCAGCTAAACATGGTTGTAGGTTATTGACACATCTAACACAATAGGCTACCAACGAGAGTGGGAAAGCCAGATTCAGATACCTTTACTGCAGTTCTTCAGGGCAAAGAAGTCCACTGCAGACAAGCTGCGGTTTCCACTGGAGACGTATTCCAGGGCCACTCGAAAGGGGTTGTCTGGGCGCCCGATTCTTCCCTGGAGCACTGTCCAACTGGTTGCATTGGAAAGCAGGGGAGAAAAGCATAGAGAAACAGTTATGAGAATTAGGCGTAACATGTGGACAGGGTCACGTCCTTGCAGGGACTTCAGGGCTCACATTCTTCATGGGCACCAAGAGATGGGACTCTAAGTGGCACTGAGGACAGTGACTCTGACAGCAACAATCAAACACTTATTTTCTTTTAGTCCAGCGAACTTAGAGATCCAATTCGCAAACCCACTCTCACCACTGGCATTTCTTTTGTCGTATTATGTTTAAGGCAAATGCAGCTCTTTGGACTATTTCAGTAGCTAGTATCATAAGAAAGTAAATATATACTTGAGAAAACCTGCCAGCAGACTCAGGGAAATGTCTTCAAAACATTTATCACTCTATTCATAATTATCTCTAGAAAGAATGATTGGTTTTCAGAGTTTTATCTGATAGAAAGTCTCGGAACCCTCAGGTTTGTTCTACAGTTACTTAACAGGGAAGCTAGTAAGAGCTATTTATTTACTGCAGGAAAATTAAAGTGCACCGAAGCATGTATTTTGGGGTAAAAGGTACCTAAGATTGACGTGGACTTTGTAAAAAGTGCAAACAGAAAAAGATGGAAGCAGGCGAAATGGTGAGCTCGGCACCCACCTATAATCAAGGATACTGACACTGTCAGAGAATAGACAACAAATTAAATGAACACTTTTACACCTTGCTCATGCTATTAACCTCTTGAAATAGACTCCTGTCACTGATTGGACCACCAAATTTACTTTCCAACATTGATTCATAAATGTCTGCAAGTGTGAGTGTCTGTGTGTGTGTGTTTGTGTGTGGGTGTGTGTGGATTTATTTACTTATTTTGAGTGGTTTGTGTGGAAAATAAAAATTACCTAGATTATTTCATATTTTCTTTCCTTAACAACTTTATTGAGGTATAATTCATGTATAATAAATTACATGTACAAAAAGTGTCACTTTGGGAGGCCGAGGTGGGCAGATCACGAGGTCAAGAGATAGAGACCATCCTGCCCAACATGGTGAAACTCCGTCTCTACTGAAAATACAAAATTAGCTGGGTGTGGTGGCAGGCACCTGTAGTCTCAGCTACTCGGGAGGCTGAGGCAGGAGGATCACTGGAACCAGGGAGGTGGAGGTTGCAGTGAGCAGCAATCGCCACTGCATTCCAGCCTGGTGATAGAGACTCTGTCTCAAAAAAAAAAAAAAAAGTGTATGATTTGATGGTGGGTTTTGGCTTATTTGTACATCTATGAAATCATCACAATATTTCACTTTTTTTACCACTAGGTTGGGCTTTGGTATGGCGGTACAAGTGGTAAAGGAATAAGGGAAAAACTAGCTTTCCATTAAATTTTTTAAAACATTTCCACCCCCTAAATATAAAGTGATGCTCACTGTAAAAAATAAAAAGCATTGAAAATCCAACAACTCAGAAAGGCTGATAATGGAAAGTAAAAGTCACCTAGAATACCATTGTCCAGCAATAACCATAGTCACCACCTAAGGGAACAACCTGTCAGTTTTTTTTGTTTTTTTCTGTCTTGAGACAGTGTCCTTCTCTATTGTCCAGGCAGGATTGCAGTGGTGTGATCACAGCTCATTGCAGGCTTGACCCTCCCCAGTTTAGTTAACCCTCCTACCTCAGCCTCCTGAGAAGCTGAGACTACAGCTGCGAACCACCAATCCTGGCTAATTTTTGTATTTTTTTGTAGAGACAGGGTCTCACTGTGTTACCCAGGCTGAACTCCAATTTCTGGGTTCAAGCCATCCACCTGCCTCAGCCTCCCAAAGTGCTGAAATTGCAGGTGTGAGCCACTGCGTCAAGCCCAACCTGTCCATTTTAATCCATTTTAATTTTTCATGAATGAGACCATAGTACATATACTCTGTGGTTGCACTTGCTCACTTGACAGTATGTCACAAGACAATATAGATTACATTATCATTTTAATGATTGCGTTTTTAATGATTTGTGCATTGCTTCTGATGTTTTCTTGATCATGATTATGCCGAAGCTAACTCCGTGTACTTGTCTAAATATGGCCTAAGGACAAATTCCTAGAATCAGAGTCAAAGTGTGTACACATTTAGGCATATTGTCAATCCTCCCACAGTGAATCGGGGGCCCATTTCTGCATGCGCTTGCTAACACTAGTTCCCACCAAATCTTTTCTGCCTGTGCTAACTTTTGATGAAGGCATTGCCTAAGACAATCCACCATCTCTTTCAGTGTGGTGCTCCTGGCTGGTAGCTTTATGTCTCTGGTGTCTGGCATGCAGTGGGTGTCTGCTGAATGAAGGAGGTAGTCTTCTTCCCTGTCGCTGTTCTCTGTAGTTAATTCAGATCACTGAAGCCAATTCTTCAGCCATTTAATAAAAGTGTATTGAGTTTCCCCACAATAGATGCTGTAGAAGGGATTATTGCTGCTGTAAAGTTTGTTCTCTGTTACTATACCCAGCAGGATTTCCATCCACAATAAAACTGGTGCAATTGAAGGAAAAGGAGGCCTTTTGGTTTAAATGAAGGACTGTCAAAGAAAACAATATTTGAAAAGAATATGTAAACAAGGGGTTCTTCAGGAGACAAACAAAAAGACAAAAAGAGCAGAATCTGTCTTGTTCTTCTGAAAAATAAAGCATCTATTTTTGAGGAAAGATGGTGGTGAAAGGCAGGAGTATTCATATTCTGCCAAAATCATAGCTCTCTGCTCTGAGGAATGATGGATTTTAATTCCAGGTGCACAGTGGGCCTTGACAATGATTTCCATTTCTATATTGGCACCAGCCCTCTGGATAAATGTGTCAAGAGTTTCAGGAATTAGTTTCTGAGTTACCGATGCAATAACTTTTGTCTGAAATTCTCTGGCCTCCCATAGTTTACTGCTGCTTTAATAACTTCCAGAGCAGTTGCCAAACATGTATTTTATATCCAGGGAAGTTGGGACTAGAAAAGGGCAAGCTTATGCCTAGGGTCAGATTTGTTTAAGAGACCACCAGAAAGCCAGTGAAAAATAAATCTAAACCCTCTTCTTGGTCTGCCTCCATTTTCTTTGCTTACACCTGAGTGGCCACAGAATGAGCCTATCAGGGTCCTGCTTTTGTTCCTTTGGCTGGTGGCAACTCTACTTAGGCTTGCAGAAGGGAAGGACCTAGAGCCTCCTGGAAACAAACGTGCAGCTGGTTCCACGTGTTGGGGATTTGTGACTGTCTTATCACTGGTGCTTCCATCAATCAATGTGGCAGTGTGGGGTGTCCATCTGGACTTTAGGAAGCCAGAGGACTGTATGGACAGCTTGTCACAATCCATTATCTTCCCTGTGTCTCTCTGGAGCTCTCCAGTTCCAGTTCTGGCTCTGCCCCTTATTTGCCTGATGACTTTGAATAAGGCACTTCTCTCCAAAAATGACAGAAATGTTGGATGTTTTCTGATCAATTGTATTCTGTCTCCAATTTTGCATGAATTTTTTGAGAAAAACACTGACCACCCATTTTTGCAGAGTGCCTATATGATAATGAGTACGTTAGAGTCCATCAAAAAAGGCAGGAGGGTTGGCTTGTGAATATCAAGGTCCATTTCTGACCTACGGGCTAGAAGTGATATATAGAAAGGCCACTGAATTGGGAGCTGAGTCCTGTATTCTGGTTGTGGATTTGCATGGGCTTGGGCAAGTCCCTGCACCTCTTTGGGTTTTAGTTTCCTCATCAGCAAAATGCAGGCATTGAATTAAAAGTTCCCTAAGGGCCTTTATTGATCTGATATCTATACTTCCTTAGCTGATTGCAGGAGTCCTAGTAACAAAACATTTTATGAAAGCCCTGAAAGCTCCAATTGACAAATAATATCCCACAGAGATGAGAGGAGAATGATTAATCACAGAATCACAGATTTATTTCTGCAAAGAGACTCAGTTTCACCCTCGTTGGAGAAGTGAAGACTTGCTCAAGGTCACACATTGAGTTACCTGCAGACTTAAGATGAAAATAAAGCATATTATTGCTCCAAGACTGCAAGCAAAAGAGACAATGCAACCTATGGATCATTCGATACAATCAATTGCATTTCATTTCCCTAAAATCACAGAGATAGAGAAAAATATGTCTACTTAGCATTGCTGGAGGGATCATCAATTTGGGTTTTCAGGATAGACCCACCAGCCAGATAGTGAAATACACCGTCAGAAAAATCTCCCAAAAAATCATAAGAAGTCCTAACATGGAAACAAAAAGAATTTCTAAGGCTGCCATGGCTCCCTACCAGCTTAGCTCTATATGTTTAAAGAAAACTGTCTGGCACATCTGATACAAGGCAAGCCAATGATGAGATTGAAAGGTTGGCAGCTGTGACTCAAAAGGGCAAAGGCACCAAGTTATTTTAAGCCCAGAATGAAGGGACGCTTTATGACAGCATGTGAGGACCATAAGTGGCAGTTGACAAGACAGGGAACATGTCATACTTTGCTTCTGTGCAATATCCTGATGGGCGTCATGTTGACATAGGGCTAGCTCACATCAGTGAGCCCTCAAACCCTACATCCTTTTCAAAGGAATGCCTTTCTGAGATGGTTTTAGCTGCTGCAGTATAGCAAGGAAAGGCCTAGATTCAGCTCTCAGCTCCACCATCCACCATCCTAAGCTACAACCTTAGGCAAAGGATTTAACTCCTCTGAGCTCCAGTTTTCCTATTTTTAAGACGGAGGTCATAATGCCTAACTTGCTGGATTGTTGTAAGGATTTCTGAGAAGGATGTACGCAAAGTAATAGCTCTTAGCACACAGTAGGAGTTCCATAAGTGGAGCTATTCCTATGGAAACCACTGCTTTCTCCATGGAATGACACTGGTCCTTGCAAATGTAGGCATCTCAATTCATTTATGAGAGTCAAAGAAGAAAGGAATATAGTAAAAGAGGGCGAGAAAGGTACTGCAGTTTATGAATAGCAGCCATCACATTTGTTTAAATAAAGAAAAACTTGGTTAAATGCATCTTTATACGTTAA